AAAAGACTTACAAGTACAACTACAAATGCACAAACTACAGCATCCTTACCTCATAGTGTCAACTTTGTCTCCCARTGAAGGRACTGGTTTAGTTGGTGAAAAAGTCATGCCAAACGAWGGCAATGCGATGTTTAAACTATCATTTAACGATGTTGGTTGAGGCATTTGAATAGGACTGTAGGCTGAACTAGGGTTACTATCGACCAGACCAGGAGTACCTTCACTAACTAAACCCTCTGTTGATTTATGTCCTGTCGATGATATAGAAGGAGATTGCGGTTCAGGTTCTTTAGCCAGTAGAGAGCTAACCTCTATATCCGAGCTGTCAAGTGAGGAGGACTCGGCAACAGGAGGTGTTGGAATGTTATCACGTGGTTTAGTTTTGTCGTCACTCGATGAAATATTCTTTGATGGTGACAACGTCGAAGTAACTTCAGCAGTGCGGGATTCCTTTGGCTCTGATAYTTTTGGTTTGGGAGGRTGTTTTCGAGGTCGACCGGGTCTTCTCTTGGGGGGWGGGTTGGAGGGACTATCAGCAACCCCAACTGTTGTGCCAACCTCCCCTCCCTTAGGCTCTGTGTTGACAGGAGTAATTTCAACTCTGTCATTTTTGCTATTGGGGATGGATGGTTGTTCAGTTTGCCTKTCCAGAGAAAGAACTGGTGTGGGTACGTTAATCCTAGTATCTTTCAAGGGAAGTCCAGGAATTGTAGTATATTCACGATCATAACAGTTCATTAACCCAGATAATGCATCCTGGTTTGCTGAAGTCTTTAAGTCTTTTGTTAGATGTGCAATGCTAAAATTACTAGAAGGTGGCGACTTTGTTTTGTTTGCTTGGCTTCCTGTGGGTTTGTTGACTGGACTTYTATTCTGGATTTCTTTAGGGCTTGCTGTGTTTCTTAGTAAGGGAGACTGGGCGATGGGACTTTGTCTATTTAAAGCAGAATTACTTGCCAGTARGTTACTAGGACTACCCCTAGTTCCAGGACTAGAGCCCCTTCTACTATCGTCTGCACTAGTATTAACCAAGCTGCTGATACTAAACGGTGAACTTGTTCGATAAGGCTTTGGTACACTAGTGACTGGTAAAGTGTTTCCAATAGTGCTARCTAGTAAATGGTTTTGKCCAGTTAGTGATGAGGTAGTGTGGTCCATACTTGTATTTAACTGGTTAGTATTAGCTAGTCTACCTGRAAGCAACTGGTTTTGTCCAGGTGGCGATACTGTCTTACGTCCAATACTATCAYTTGCTRGAGAATGACTGAGACCAGTAAATACCTGGCTACTGCTTGGTAKAGATGTTGAGGTAGTTCCAACACCATTTAAGTTGTTAAGACCAGGTAATGATACTGTAGCATGGCCAGCAATAGTTGGTTGTGAATTGTTGGTAATACTACAAGTACTTGSTGAAGGTACTGTAGTACATGGTACTTCTGGTAAAGTCCCATTTAGAAGATCACAAAGTAGTTTAATACCAGAGGTACCATATGGTTCCCCAGTACTGGGCGTGGTTAGACCTGTTGTCTGTCCACCTGTTCCCATGGGAGTAGTTTTTGTTGGAACAGCCAATGGTTGAAYGGTTGATGGTACAGTAACTTTAGTAAAAACATCATWGGTTGATACTTTGTTGGTTAATGGTAAATAACTACTTTTTGATGTGGGTGATGATATAGAAGGGACAAGCTTGGTTGCATWATGTCKTGTGTCTGAGGTACTACTGGATGYCCTATGGATAGCATCAGTGTTCTTYAAACCATAAGGGCTTGATACCTGGTTCACAGCCTCTGKTTTTGCTATGCCACTAACACTASAGTTGGGTTCCCTGTGCACAGTATCAGTGTAACTTGATCGGCTATGGGGTGTGTTGGTAACAGGTTTGTGAGATGGTTCAGTGTTGTTTGAGCTATTACTATTAAGCTCAGCCTCAACGACTGTTATCTTATCCAGCAGGGTCTTTCTTTGTGTCCAGGCTTCATATATGTCACTCATTAGTTCTTTTTGAAGACTAGATTTATCTGATACCTATAAGAAATAATAACAAAATAACACTAGTCAGTTTTAAGAGCAATACTTTAAATCCCTTGATGAAGTAAGGCAAAACAAAAGGGACAGATAAAGCATGTAGAAAAGATTTTCAGTGAAGCACCAGTCTAACTGGACTTAAAAATGTCTGTTTACAAAGAGATCGACTGGAAAGATTAAACTGAGAATTTGACCAGACATTGTCTCTCTTTTTTCCCTACTACTTGCCCATCACTGCCCTTAGTCAAGATGCAAACTGCAGAATAACTTACTTCATTGTCAATGCTTTCACCTTTCACAGGCTTCATTTGTTTAGGAGGRTTATCCTGARCACTTGGGCTCTGTAGAAACAAATCATATATGCACTTMATACACTAAATACAGTACAATGTCAAGCATATTGTGTGAAAAGACCAGAAAAAAAGTGAAAGAGTACTGACCTGTGTCTGCYCAGTGTTATAACGCTCTAGACTTCTAACTTCTTTCTCAAGGCGTTTAACTTTTTCTTTGAGCCTTTTATGCTGTGCAAGGAGTTCTCCTGCCTTGAGWAGCAGCTCTCTAGGGGTTGTGACAGAAAGACCAATCTATAAGGGAAAACATATGACATCTTATTACACTTTTAGCTAGAGATAGGCACAAAAGACAAGATGAGAATGACAGCTACTACTGTTAGTTGTACATGTACTCGAAGACAGGAATAACAGCATAGATTACATGATGTCTTATAATTATGGATTACCTCACTCATACGCTGGTTCAAAGAAGACAGTGCATCTTTCTGAAGTATAGATATCTGGCTCTCTACTTGGTCTATTTTGGTGCAAAGCTCCTTTCTTCTTTCCTGTTGCAAAACATTCACTTTGCTCAATATTCAATTAAAACTACCACACAAAATTCTAGTGATAATAAATTCTTATTATTATAAGTCAACAACATGTACTGTTTTTTTTCTTACTTAAACTCAGATAAAAAATATACATGAAAACATGTAATAAACCCTATTTTAMGTCAGACAAGAAGTGCAAACCTTTTCTTCCAATATCTGTCGGTTTAAACTTTCCAKGTACTGAGGTGTTTGCATGTAGTGATAAAACTGGATAAACTGATACCGATAAAGTTCTGTARAAAAAAATATCAATGATTTAATACTTATAAATAATAATAATACAACAATAATCAGCAATCCTKGGTGCAACTGTATTGTCACTGCTGATAAGATGCGTAGATGAGATATGTTGATTGAATGTAACTGGTTACTTACCAAGTAATTGGTCAAGACCAGGAAGAGTATGAACTCCAGTGTAGTACATGTTGTTGTTGACATTACTGTATGTTACTGGGGGAGGGGTGGCTGATGATAATCTTATGCCCCCAGAACATGGTCCTTTTGACTTTAGGTTCTATACAAGGAAATGAAATAACAGAACTGTTTGACAATCTCTAAAACCAAATTTTAAATATTTAAGGATAATTGTTTACATTGAAAACTTATTGTCTTGGAATAATGTTTGCAGATACTAATATTGCTTGAGTACTTTTAGTCAAGAAAATCAAATTTAATGTGTTACCATCGATAAATGAATTTTATTTTAATGACAGTATATTCTTGTCATAAAGTATTATTACCTCCAAAGCCATGCGGGTGGCATTTTCCAGGGCAGCTGCTGCTAGTTTGGCTTCTTTTTTGTTCTTATCTTTAAGTTTAGTCATGAGTCCAGACTTCTTGTATACCCTGCCATTCCTTGGTCTATCTTTCTTCAGCCTTTGCTTACTGAGATTTTGCTGTTGGTATTTCCTGCAGACTTTCTGTGCTGCACTTGGCTTATGGGCCTTCTGTTAAATTGTTTTTCTACTTTTAGTATGTCTTAAAGGATGAATTTGCTGTTGTTAAACATGAAGTATGCTTTCCTTCAAGGAAATATTGATATCAAATGGACCAAATGAAAAAAGTGTCGAAAACACCGAAGGTCCACCCTGAGTTGTTTATGTTTGCAAAGCAAATGACCACAAATGAAAACAAAGACTTTCACATTATTATTGGCACCTTGGGCATTGTCACACCAACTTAGGCATTTTTTTTTAACTTTTGACATTGCATCAATAAGGCTTGCGTGGCCATAATGTTCACATTTATTAGTGTAGTGTTTATGACTTACACATCGTCATCAAGTGACATCGATACTTTAATAATAGAACCAATGATCATTATCACAATAGAACCAATGATCATTATCACAATAGAACCAATCATCATCATCACGATAATGAAACCATCATCACAGTACAAGCAATCATTATCATCACAATACAACAAATCATCACTATACCTTGGATTTCTTTTTTCCTGTGGCTATATTCTCTTTATCTTGACTTATTGCCCTCTTTAGTTTGGGTTTACGACCTGATTTGCTTCTCTTCTTATTTTCAGTAGAATGTTCAATCTGTGTGATCAAGTGCTGCCACTGCTGACGAGTTGATACCCCTAGCATGACATCATCAAGCTCTCCAAGATTACACGCACTAGTAGCAGACTCACTGTAACTGCTTTGATCACTCAGATCCCGACCCTCCTGAAAAACAACAATATTGGTCTGTCATGTAACTTTTTAGGTTAAATTGTAAAATATGCCATATTGGTTGATATCAGACTGATTTAAGTCATCCAAAAAGCTGGACATTGGCATACTTGGAAYGCAATGCAGTACAATCAAGTGAAATGAGTTACCTTTCTCCTTTTTAGATCAGCAAAGAAGTTCTCCAGCTATTAAACAAACAATAGATAGTGGTTAATATAGTACAATGTGACTACTGACAGTATAATACTGTAAAAAAAACCCTGTTTGTGCCTATTATGCCCCATGTTTGTGATATGATAGAGTTCTGCAAAGGGTTTGGATACCCTACAAATAAAGCTGCCTCTCATCTTAGATAAACCTTTGGACAGCATGACTGCCTTCAGGGCCCAGATACATGAAGATTGCATCAAATCAATGCACAAAATAGTAGATAAAATAGTGCTAGGTTTCAACAATGACATTGTGAATACTGGTAAACAAGACAAGAAAGGTCTGTAAATAAAATGGGTTGAGATCAAATATGCTTGTTTACATACCAGTGTTCTGTCAATGACATGGACATAGTAAGACACTGATTTTCCTGTCCATGATACAGCACCCCCTACTGGTTTAAGCTCTGATACTCGTAATATTGTACCAATATCTACAAAATACAACTTACTATGTAAGAACTAAGACTACAGAACAACACCTTATAWATATCTAAAAATATACTTATACAACTTTCTGTTAGATCTATACTAGTGTATATGCAAAGAATGATAAAATTCTGTATCCTGTGTACAATAAGATTTTCTCAAAATGCTTTTACCTGATAAATTTCTAGTAGTTGTTCTAAAGTTAAGTGGACAAAAAGCTTTAGATGATATTATTTTAGTTCCTGCAAAGGAAAATAAAGCAACATTTTATTTGTGTACACGTATACTGTTTGAAAGTGTCCAATAAAATAAGTTTACACCAACCTTCTTTCATATGTGAGAACATTTCCTTGAGTTTATGGTCCACAGATGGTCCAAAAGCAAAGTTATTGACAAAAATAATCCTAGAAATACAAGATCAAATTCTTAATGAATATGATCACAGTGATTTTCACAGTGATTAGCACCTACCCTGAGGTAACAATTTTCTCTCTTACTTTGCTATCCAAAAAATCTCCTTTAACTAACTATAATAAAACAAGAAGGGAAGTTAGTTATCAAAGAATGTAGCAAAGAAGCCTAAACAAATCCATTAAATCAACCAACCATCTAAGCAATCTGCAAGTCAACCAAGAATGCAATGATTTTATTAGCAATACTTACTGTGTAAGGTTTATAACTTTTTCCAAACCAATTCATAAGTTTCCTAAATGATCTATCCATTTCCTAAATTAACACAAATATGGCTGTCAAAACTGCTTGGTAGAGAAAACAACACTTATCAAAGAATTCCAGTTGTGCAAAAAGCATTGCATCAGAACAACACAGACAGTTATGATCATAAAACAGCCAGTTATCAGAAGTATTCATACTGCTATATTGTACTTGYATGAATGTTTAAGGTTCATTAGAAGTGAGTTTAAAAATCAAGTTTTCTACACAATACACTACACAAATCAGCTTAAGTGGCCTGAGTAAGGTGCATTGCACTGTTATTTTAACTGCAAGATCAATTTTAATTATTTACTGGTAAAAGTCATGTACATACCTTGGCATAAGAAGCAGGAATATCAGCTTTTTCAATACCATAGCACTCTCTGACATTACCAGATGCCGCAACTTGTAGGATAACCTGTCCTACACCTGGAAAACAACATAATTAGTAAATAATTCACTCAGTCTGGAAAGCAATCATGACAGCAATCCACTAATATCTTTTTCACACACTAAACTGTACAGTTTGAATCACCAGTATTCACGTTATCATTAATAGTTAGGCTGCCTGTGTTTCAAGTAAGCTTGCTTACCACTGCCTAAATCAACAAAAGTCTTGTCTTGGCCCATTGGGACTTCCTTTATCATTTGAGCTATTAGGTCAAATGATGTTTCTCCATAAACCTGAAAACATGATGGGATAACTACTGTTATATTATTATGAGTGACAGTGATGTTTACAAAAAGAAAATTCATATAGAAAAAAAAACTAAGGCAAGAGAAACATCGGCAAGTTTTCTCCCATATGGTGCACATGACCCTTTATTATCACAACTGTTTCATGTACATAGAGCGGATTTTGTATGAGTGGGAAACGGACGGTACTGTACTGTGACCGTAATCGTACTGTAACTAAATTCTAGTGCCCCATTGGTTCACAAAAATTGTGCAGGCCAGGTCTGGTAACTATGCGGTAACCTTGTAGCACTCATACGAAATCCGCTCTATATGTACAGTAATAGAACAGTGCAGTTCAGTATATTAATGTCACTTTTTCCTAGATATGCGGAACTGAACAATATTTTGTTTTTATGTCTGCAGTGATACCTAAAAACAGSTTTGACATCCAGATGTAGCAGCATCATACCCTGTTGCCTCTCTTGTTTTTTAAGYGGCRCTCACAAGTAACCACTGGGTTCAAGAGTGTAGTAACAGAGAGTTTTAGATACACGTTTACGGCGAACGCCAAATGTCAAAACTGATCACATGATCACTGTTTTTCTGTGTTAATGCTCTGCTCTTTTGCGATTGTGTATAAAATAGATCACTAAATCGTGCATAAGCGCATGACTATTCCTTTCGAAGTGTTTTTACGTTTGTTTGAAATTTTGAGACAAAGCATAAAAGCCCATTTGACACTTGTCGTTTGCAGTAAACGTGAATCTAAAACTCTCTAATATCTACTCACCTCAGGTGAAAATGGTTCATAGCTGTTTAGTCTGTCTGGGTCTTTTACTGCTCTTGAGTATACCATCTGTATAATAAATCTTAAAAGATCCTGTGATGGCGCTGTGTTAATACATGATGGTGGCGCTCTCCCTTTCCACTGAAATACAACAATTAATAAATACAACAATTAATAAATACAACAATTAATAAATACAACAATTAATAAATACAACAATTAATATCTTGTCAAACACGATATCCACAGAAGTTTATCATTTTGAAATATGAATAATGAGTATTTCTCACACACCACTGGGAGCTTATTGTTTAGCTGACTACTGCTAACAGACTATTTTATTAACAATTGACAACTCAACTGGCTACCAAGTTAACATCACATTACAAAATATTTCTCCTCGGTACAAAATTCTGAATGACTACAAGTACTGTACTAAGATAGGCAGGCACTGCCTGGGTGAAAACTTAGTCRATGGCGGACAGTGAAAAAGCAACTGAACTAAAACCCTGCCCATGTGATTAAGGCCTCTCAGCCCAGGCTTCCATGGTGTGAGAAAAAACATTTCCACCTTTTCCATTTCTCAGTCAGTGGAAAATACAACATGTCACATACAAAACAAATCCTTCAATAAATACAATTACAAGTATGAATTTGTACAAATGACTGACATTGCTAACTGCCTGGTCAACATGTGATCTCTTAAAGTAAGGGGGTTTTATGAGATGTATCATTTTATTTTTGTATCATACAAACAAACAAAAGAAGACCCATCACATACAAGTGATTTGTAAAATATAATTCAATAATTTAATTGACTTATTAAGATCTAAACTTGAAAACTGGCTAAATATATTGTTGTSATATTTCAAATGGATTATATTTGTACAGGGAATATTCTCTACCAACCAAAATCATTGCACCGTTAACATATGTTCACATATTTTGTTGTCTGCAAACAGGTGGTAGGTATATTTATAGCAAGGCGCACAATAATAATGGAAGTGATTTAGAGAAATGTAATTTCATAGCTTGAAATGATACCAAAATCGTAAATGACCTTTAAGACATATTCGTGACAAGAGATCGGTTGAGTTGGCAAGAAAAATGCAGTACAGATTGAAATTCTTTGGGTAGTTAACTGAAAGTGTCCGTGCAGAGAGCATCGAAATAACGATAGATAAAACATTACAACTTGTAAGCTTACCAGCTGAAGGATTCCATCGATTGCTCTATTATAACGCTCACAAAGTTTGCACATACTTTCATAGCTGAAAAAAATACAATCCAAAGGCCAAATGAGTTTAGTGAATCGAAAAGACGGAATACAAGTGCTGGGTACTTGACGAGTTTACAGGAAATGAATGTCGGAAAACACAGCGTTCTAAGAAACTATTTACAACAAAAATAATTACCAACCTTGTAGGATCGAAGTTTACTAGAATACAGTTTTCAACTGCTAATTTAAGTTCAGGAAAATCTTCACAGACCCATCTGTAGAGAAAACGTAGGAGTTTGAATTTCGTCAACTTCGTCAAGTGGGGGAGAGTTGTATGGCAAGCAAATCGGTAAATGTTATGATTCGATGGCGATTTTGTGCTATATTACCTGATAGTTTCAATAATTTCTGTTGCATCATCTCTCCCATCCTAAAAGAAATCGTCGGCAAATGTTAAAAGTTGTACAACAAAGCTAAATCAATATAATTTTGTCACATTTTCGTCGCTTCCCTTCCTCACCAAAAACATGAACTTCCCTTATCAACTTACTCGATTTTGGAGCGGCCAAGAATATRTCAGAGGGTCAGAGCCGGCAGGACTACGGAGCTTTAGTTCCTGCATTATTCTATCTAGAGTTTTACCATTTTTGAACCAATATAACAGCTATAGAGAGTGAAAAACACAGGACCAACTTTCCAGACGCCATTTTCCCACCTTCGACCCGCTGGCCCGCGAAGACCATGCGTCCCTCAGCTGCATGTTCAAGTCACGTGACTAAACTAATGGTTTTCATTGGCTCGAGGATGAGTGCAATAATAATTGTATTGTTTTCACATGCTGAAATTAGAATTTTTCCCGCGTTAAATTCGTGCTGACATGGTCGTGTCACCTGATGTAAATCATTAGGAGTTTTATTAGTACCTCGAAGTCGGCTATATGCATATCAGAGCTGAATTGATAACATCAACTTCTAAAATCATTATTGCAATGATTGATCGTAGCTGGCTTCAAAGGATCTTTTGAGTGCTTAGCAATTTATGTGTAAAATATCCCAAAAAGTACTTCATGTTTGATGTAAAATTTCTTTACATCAGATGCACTACAATCTGAACACGGGCTTCCTGTGTTAATGCGAGACAAAATGACACAGGAATCCCCTTAAAAAAAATATAGCTACGACCGGACGTCGAAGTTATATTGAAACTGTTTTGACAGGAAATGTAAAGAGCACAGGAAAATGTTTCAAAAATAACTAAACTTCCTTGTGTGGTCTGTCCTTGTAGAGTACTACAGGTGGACAGGATGTTTTGAACGGAAAAGCTCCTCTGCGTTTCACAATTGACATGAAATTATAGGAATAAAGAGCATCAGTATTCCCGGAAAACTGGTGGGCATAAAGGAAACGGGAATGTTAAGAGAGTGCAAGTTCACCTTACGAAATGGAGAGTGCCACCGTTAAAATATGAACGACAGAAATTGAGAGACGTCAACATCAGTATTGATAACCTGACCCTCGCAGCTATTATTTTTTAACCACTATTAAAGAATGTAAAACAAGCGTAGTGGAGGAAGGAGAGTTCCCCGTCAAAAGACAAGGAAAACACTAGGGCCCACTCAATCAGACAATGGTGACGGACCAGTGTTGTCTGATCATAAAACCCCCTGCGTTTGCCTTAGCTCTTTTAAACTATAATTCCAGCGGCAAATTAAATCAAAGAGGGCGGAATATTGAACGGGGTGAATAGTTCGAGAACCTTGGGAAACGACGATGAAAGTTTCAGCATTCTTTGAATTGTAATGAAATATTCAGTCTGATTTTTGCACTCGTAAAACTGCGATTTTAATACACTGTAGGTCTTACACAAAAGAATAAGTTAACTAAGTTAATAGGGAATGATATACAACATCGGTGCTAGCAGGGAAAAGGTGTTGGAAGTGAATTTATTGTTAATGTTTAGCCTCAGGAGGGCTAAATAAACTAGTAAATATTTTCTAGTCAGCCCACAGCCTTGTTGTAGAAAGAAATAGTTACATTATCAGATTAAGGTATGTTACACCCAATCAGATTAACATTAATCCTCTTATCTCAGAGCAAGCTGTGAATCTTTCTTGTCTGACTATTAATTACTCCAGCAAGCGATTCGCAGAAAAAAAGCACTGAGCAGACATTTTTCAAACTATACTTTGATGCTTTTTCTCGGGGCTTTTTGCAACCTTCGAAAACTCCTATTCTTTAGTTCTCCTCCTTGATTGTTCGCGATTTATTTATAGCTTACTTTACTTTCAAATGGTTATCAAAACAAGGTGTGTTTCTGACTCTTTTGAGCCACTTGTAAAATGGATTACCACCCATTTAGGCCTATAAAACCCAAAATATCCCAAAGAAAACACTTAACTATAAATACTTAATAGGCAAAATCGACCGTTCCACAAAAAAAAAAAAAAATCATTATCCCGAAAATCTTTCGGAAGTGTGGATAGCTTTATCCGGCGGATACTTTTACTAGCCTTCGTACAACCATTTTAGGTGTCCTCTTGTCTATGACGTCATGTTTTTTTGGGTGAAGGTCATATTAAAGTTTGTCAAGATAGAGTATGTTTGCATAGTTTCGTAGTAGCACTAGAGATAATAAAACTTTAAAAAATACGATATACTTTTTTAATCTTAACATGTTTCAGCATTACATTATGCCATCCTCAGAAGAATGAGAATAAAAGTCGTTACCTAGACTATATAATCATTTGTAACGACTTTTATTCTCATTCTTCTGAGGATGGCATAATGTAATGCTGAAACATGTTAAGATTAAAAAAGTATATCGTATTTTTTAAAGTTTTAGAGTATGTTTGAAAAACCACGAGGAACTACTTCAAAATCAACAACGCCGCGCAGCAACAACAAGCAAAATCAAAATTCAGTGCTTTGCGCATGCTCACCAAAAGAGACTGCTAGCCACAAACAACTATACTAAATGCAGAAAAATTATATTTCTCTTTTTTTTTCTTTCTCCGTTAGAGTCCATTTTTTCCCCTCTGGTCATAACATAGCAAATCACCCTTGAAGAGAAGAATGCTTGAGGATTGCGTGCGTATGTAGGAGGTATTAATTAAGTAAAATATGTCTGACTTTTTGGACTTTCAAAAAAAAAAATTGATTCCGTTTGAGAAAATAAGTCTAAACTCGGATCGATACAAGCCAGATCAAGATGTTTCTATGCTTACTTACTTAATTAAGTAAAATATGTCTGACTTTTTGGACTTTCAAAAAAAATTGATTCCGTTTGAGAAACAAGTCTAAACTCGGATCGATACAAGCCAGATCAAGGCATCAAGATGTTTCTATGCTTACTTACTTAATTAAGTAAGTAAAATATGTCTGACTTTTTGGACTTTCAAAAAAAATTGATTCCGCTTGAGAAAACAAGTCTAAACTCGGATCGATACATTCCAGATCAAGGCATCAAGATGTTTCTATGCTTACTAAATTTTACAGTATCCGGCACTCGCAATTAAGTTCCTGATTTTCGGCCATATAAATATCCCGAAATCGTATCCTCTCAACCGTAAATTCCATCTGAGGTCAAAACTACCCATGAATCCACAGAAAGAATTCAAGAACTGCGAAATTTGATACAAAGCAATTTCTAAGTTTCTTTCAAACTTGGGAATTATATACTCGTGAAAATTTAATCCAAATTTGAGTCGGGTTAAGTTTTATGGATTCAGATTAGGCCTTCAATTCCTGGATACTTCTAGTTCGTTTTTTTTTTTCTACAAATGATTTCCGTTGGTTATGTACGATTGTAATTCTACCATGATTTGTTTTCTTGCGGTTTAGCTATAACGATAGCTCTTATAAAGTCAACCGAAAAGTCAATTTTCTGCCGCACCTCCACTAAAAAACAAATAAATCTTTACTAGCACTTTCGACATTGACATCTGTCATTTTTAATAATTCTTTGAAACTCATGCTCTTAACAACACATTCCAACGACCAAACCTTTTATTTGTATTGCAAAACACACTAACTAAGCGTCGACTCATTATTCTCATTTTACTGGGGTTACGTAGAACTGAAATGAGTTTGCAGTTTCACACGAATCAAAATGATGATGATTCTCCCACAATGCTCTTGTAAAAAAGTTCTTTAGTTTTGCGGTGACACGATCATACTGGGATTTCAAAATTGCGCAGCTTAAGTCTTGACAATGTTTTGAAATGTAGCATGTGGCTTCGACCGACCAATAGAGTTATCCCTAGTTCCCCTCCACATGTGGGTCAATACTTCAAATCACTTACAAACTTCGAATGTAAGAGAAACGTGCCTATTCGAGGTCAATTCAAGGCTAAACGTGATTCCTAATGATTAATAAATAATGACTGCTGGTCTTTAGAAATCACTGCGGGCTCCCTTGGCTTGCATGGGTGTAATATTTTCCTATTGCAAGCAAAGTAGGTTATATTGCGAAAGATTTTAAAAAACAGTTAACAGCTAATTTTTAACCAATCACTTGTCGCGTGTGCAACTAATAGATCCAGCATAATGCGAAAACGTGTAACGTCACGTGATTTCGAAATACTCGCTCAAAAAGTTAAATTGTGGTTTTTATGTACGTAGACATTTTTATGGTCGTAGTAATGCGAGTTCCTGATTCATTAGCCCGCGCAGTATCAAGCTTGCATTGTGTCACCTCTAGTTTATATTACATATTTTACCATTCCTACTGCCTCAAGCTTCAGTATATTAAGAATAGTACTGACTCAAACAAATCAGGCATATGTAATATGCAAAAATCGATTTTTAGAACGATAGAAATGTACATTTCTCACAAAGATTCAGTTAAATAATCATCCAGGAAGATGTTTTATTCATCAGTGTCAAGCATACTGACTGACAATTGGTTTTGGACACTAATGGAAATTTTGATTTGTATCTCATATATTTAGATAGAGAGCTTGATATTGCGCTTATAAACCAAAGATTTAAAGGTGATGCGACAATAAATAGAACGATAACAAATTAGTAAAGTTCTAGAACAACACACTAGCCTTAGCCCTAAATAGCCACACTATCTTTATGTGTGCACTGGTATCAATTGGTACATATTTCATCGTTCTGCCAAGAATGCCAGGAATTTTTTGTCTATATCTAGATTACCTGGACGTGATATGTCAAACAGAGAGGGACACTTATAAATGACACTTTGTGATATTCATCAAAGTCCAGATCACCTCTGACTACATCTAAGAAAAGTATTTCGCTCACGTTCTATTTTGTCATATATTTTGCAAAACGATTATCGCGTTTTCTAACTTAGAAAGTTTGCTTGGTTGAGAAATTCCCAAGAATTTGGTATACCATCTGTTTTACTTCTTTTATCGTAGTTTCAAGTACCTAACTTACTCCAATATGCCTAATCTGAACGAGAAATGACCTTTCGAATACTCTTGAGTGGCACAAAGTTAAACTAATCCACTGCACCAAACTCGAAATGCCGCAGTAAAATAAATGCTCCACTTTGGCGGGAACTCCGCTGCAACGCTGTCTAAACAAAAACCTCTCGGAACCTAAATTGGCACTTATCACTGTATACTACATATTTCATCGTGGTATGACGTAAAACACATAGAAAATAGGTGCAATTACTGATAACCTCTCTGTAAATAACAACTCTAGCAGCGAAACCTTGCTGTTTGCTTTGTATTTATTCGATCGGTGCCCCGTTGACTGCAAGAAGAAATTGACGAACAATGAATCGTAGCGGTGTTGACAAGGCGAGAGCAGAARCTGTGGCAATCACCAGCTCTGCCGCTTGGCGCGTGGCAAGGGTAACCGGGATTTATTGCACCATTATAGAATCGACAAATTTTGAATATTTCGTCAAGTGTCAAGTGATGAGTTTGAGGAGTATTCATCACATTCTTTSAGTCAGGACATTCCGTATATGGAGTTTCAGTGTCCACAGCTGTATTAAACTCATGTTGATTGTCAAAGCATCACGCCTTTTTAATGGATTTGTTTGTTCTAACGGTATTGAGGCTGGCTAAAGAATGGTTCAGTGCCATAATATGACATTGTCACTCAGTGTATGTGTCAAGTATGCAATATCAGCATTATCAAACCTTGTCTGATGTAGCACGCGTTGACAGACTTAATGCACCGCTGTAATTGTGATGCTATTACCCAAATGAACAACAAAAATTTAGAAAATTCGATTAACACATTTTAAAAACGGATAGAGTTGGCTTGGAGTGGCCRTTGCCATAGGKTGACCACGTGTGAATCTCGTCAAGAATCGCTTGAACTGCAGCTGGGGAGCATCGGTCACATGTCCATGGCACACAATTGACAAAGAGATGGCTATCTCGGTTTACTAATCAACACATCCGATTGGTCCATCCAATAAGTGTTGATATGTTGCAAAGGGTCAGAGTTTTAAATTCCAACAGCTCATCGGGTGCCTCTAGATAGCTTCCTGCATTTATCTGGCCCACGAGTGCTGCAAACAGATTTCGCGTCAAGTCATATAAACTAAACCATTAGACAAGTTCCGCAGTTAGGCACTGAAAGGTCTTACTAAGCGCACGACAAAATGCTTCCGGGAATGGTDTTAGTTCTACTCGCTACGGCTCAAGGCCTTGCACCACCGTTACAAAAAACAGCAACTGTAATTCCACAAGATGCAAACATTACTGTCGATTCGTATCCTCAAAATCGATCTATTCCAGAAAGAAGCCCTGACAAAGTCATTCCGAATAGTGACAACCGGCGAGCAGGCTGTTCAAACTGCGGCAGAAATACCCTGCCATCCAAAGCAGCAATGGAATATAGAATACGACTCGACGTTATTAAACAACAGATCCTCCAAGGTCTACAGATGAGTGAACCTCCAAAGATTAAACGACGAGATTTTAATGTCCCTCCACCACTGTTAAAGAAATTCCAGGAAGCGAAAGACAGACAAAGACAAATAGACGAACAACCGCCAGAAATTAAGACCGAAGTAGTCCTACTTGGAAGCAAAGGTAAGAAACGTCGAGAAGAAACTTTCCGTGTGAGTGAAGTTCAGTGTGTTTGAGGTCAATTTAACGGGTCTCGATGTATAACTGTGCTGACGCAGACATGGAGAGGCCCCAAACCGCGTATAAACGCGAAAATCTGATACGTTTTTTKSCMAAWTKSYTWAWWAMCMA